TTATTTATTTATTTATTTATTTATTTATTTATTTAAGATTTCTGTCTCTTCCCCGCCACCGCCTCCCATTCCCCTCCCCCTCCCTCATCTGCCCAAAGAGCAATCAGGGTTCCCTGCCCTGTGGGAAGTCCAAGGACCACCCACCTCCATCCAGGTCTAGTAAGGTGAGCATCCAAACTGCCTAGGCTCCCACAAAGCCAGTACGTGCAGTAGGATCAAAAACCCACTGCAATTGTTCTTGAATTCTCAGTATTCCTCTTTGTCCGCTATCTTCAGAGAGTACGGTTTTATCCCAGGCCTTTTCAGACCCAGGCCAGCTGGCCTTGGTGAGTTCCCAGTAGAACATCCCCATTGTCTCAGTGTGTGGGTGCACCCCTCGCGGTCCTGAGTTCCTTGCTCGTGCTCTCTCTCCTTCTGCTCCTGATTTGGACCTTGATATTTCTGTCCGGTGCTCCAATGTGGATCTCTGTCTCTGTCTCCTTTCATCGCCTGATGAAGGTTAATATTCAGGAGGATGCCTATATGTTTTTCTTTGGGTTCTCCTTCTTATTTAGCTTCTCTAGGATTGCGAATTATAGGCTCAATGTTCTTTATTTATGGCTAGAAACCAAATATGAGTGAGTACATCCCATGTTCCTCTTTTTGGGTCTGGCTTACCTCACTCAGGATAGTGTTTTCTATTTCCATCCATTTGTATGCAAAATTCAAGAAGTCATTGTTTTTTACTGCTGAGTAGTACTCTAATATGTATATATTCCATACTTTCTTCATCCATTCTTCCATTGAAGGGCATCTAGGTTGTTTCCAGGTTCTGGCTATTACAAACAATGCTGCTATGAACATAGTTGAGCATATGCTTTTGTTGTATGATAGGGCCTCTCTTGGGTATATTCCCAAGAGTGGTATTGCTGGGTCCAGGGGTAGGTTGATCCCGAATTTCCTGAGAAACCGCCACACTGCTTTCCAGAGTGGTTGCACAAGTTTGCATTCCCACCAGCAATGGATGAGTGTACCTCTTTCTCCACAACCTCTCCAGCAAAGGCTATCATTGGTGTTTTTTATTTTAGCCATTCTGACAGGTGTAAGATGGTATCTTAAAGTTGTCAATCAGAGGGCTTTAAACTGGAAAGCTGTCAGTCCTGCCTAGCAGAAAGCCATATGTAGGGACTGGAGAGATGGTTTATCTCTTTGAGCAATGTTGCTCTTTCATAGGACCCAGGTTTAGTTTCCAGTATACAAATGCTGGCTCAGAACCATCTATTACTTCAGTTCCAAGAGATCTAACAACATCTCTGATATCCACAGGTACCAGGCATACACATGATGTACAGACATACATGTAGGCACTCCTTGTGCATGCCAGACTTGATCTTGTGCAGGTCGCCATAGGTGCTGTGAGTCTGTGCATCCATGGAACAGCCCAGAAGGCAGCACTTGACAGGTCTCCTTCCATCCACAGGCACTGCATTTACATCTTCTCTGCCCCTCCTCCTTGATGTTGCCTGTGTCCCATCTTGATCTCCAGCTCTGGCACTGTCATGCATCTACAAGCCTCACAGTCAAATACTCCTGGACATGATACTGCTACTTGCTTACCTTCAGGATGAAGAACCCCAGGCCTCAAGCTGAAGAAACCCATGGAGTGAATTATGTATGCTCAATGGGACACCAGAGCTATGAGTGAGAACACTTTCATCACACCAACCAGTTTCAAGACACATAAGTCTGCTCAGTTCTGAAGCAGAGGAAGAGCTGGAGCCTGAAGGAAGGCATCAGATAATGGAACAGAGACGGCACAGAAGCCACACTGTGGTTCCCTTTCTTGAAGGGAAGATGCATTTCCTTCTTGTAAAAAATATGTGTGTTGTACAGGATTAGTCTTTGAGCTGAACAGCTGTTATCTTTATGAGTTCAACAACAACAAAAAAACCATCACATCTGGGCTTGGTGACTGTTGACTTCCACCATAGAAGGGGAAGTCGGAGGGTCATGGCACTCTCGCTTGATCATGCATCCACTCCTGAAACTAGTTTTTATGCAGTTCTGTCTTAATTGTATGTGGTTTAAGTGGGGCCTAGAAGTATATAGGTTATGAGACATTATTGAGGAGCCCAGTCTATGCAGCTATCAGGGAGTCATCACCATGCCAGGTGAAAACCTCACAGTGTGGCTGCTTTAAAGTCACCCATGCTCCTGTCCGTACCTCCTCACCCATTGCTCTGTAAACTTAACAAACACATTGGCTCCCCATGATCAGTGGTTCTCAACCTTCCTAATTCTGAGACCCTTTAATACAGTTTTTCATGTCATGGTTAGTCCCAACCACAAAGTTATTTTTGTTTCTATTTCACACCTGCAATTTCGCTACTGTTATTTAATATCTGATATGTAAGATATCTGACATGTGACCCACTAACGGTGTCGGGAACTACACACTGAGAACCACCGTCTTAGCGTGAACTGTGACGGAACAGTACTTCAGTGAGTCGTTGAGTGCTGAAGAGGAGTGGTACATATTGTTTACATCTTTCCCAGAGAAGGAATTTTAGTGACAATCTGTATGTGTATGTGACTGTGTGTAGGTATGTGCACACGAGTGTAGGTGTGCACAGCTGCTAGAAAATGGTAGCACATCCCCTAGATCTGGAGTTAAAGATTTTAAGCCACTCTAGGTATGTGCTAGGAACTGGACTCAGCTCCTCTCCAAGAGCCTTGGGTGCCCTTAATGGCTAAGTAAAAGTTATGGGATTAATACCATGCTCATATTATGCTGCGAAGTAAACCTAGGGCATTGTGCTTTTTAGGCAAGCACTCTACAGTCGCACCCTAAAATTTTTTAATTAGTGGTATCATTTACAAAGTACAACACACAAATCTTAGGATACACTTTAGGAACCTTGTAGCCCTCTAGCTAGCTTGCTATGTTTGTCATTTTGGCTTTTTGTTTTTGTAATAAATGCTCAAGATAAATCAACTTATAATTAGAAAAGTTTTGTTTCCACTCATGATTTTTGAGATTTCAGTCTGATTGGTTGGTATCACTCTTTGGGGTCTCTGCTGGGACAGCTTATCACTTCAGAAATAGACTGTAAAGAAATGTTACTTTCCTTGTGGGTGGGAGGAAACAGAGAAGGAAACAGAGGAGCTAGGCTATTACCGTCTTCTTCAAGAACACACTTTCAGAGATTCAAGATTTTCAAGTGACTGTACGTTTTAATGCTCCTGACCTCTTCAGCAGAAAATGTCCAAACTGTGACACTGTATGACTTCTATATGTCTATCTGTCCAGCCAGCCAGCAGTCAGCCATCCACTCTATCTATCATCTAGCTAGCTAGCTAACACCTATCTATTACATCCAGATATCTATATATCTCTCATCTCTCATGCCTATTATCTAGTTGGGAGTTCTCTTTCTCCCAACTTGGTGAACAAATTGTATAGGTAAAAACTAAACGATTTTCAGTACTTCTAAAAGTTGCCTTGTCACTCTCTCCGCTCAGTTTCTACTTCCTCTGAGATAATTCATTCTGGATTTTTCCATGACGGCATTGTTCCTGTTGTTGACCTTTGTACAGCCAGAGTCGTACCACATGCATTCTTTATGTTCAGATCCTTTCTACTCCGTGTTGCTTTCAGAGACTTCATGATCGTACATATATATTGTTCTTTTTGAATCCTGAGATCATTCTGTTGTACAGTTATATCATGATTTGTTTATCATTCTCTTGGGCTCCTTCAAGTTTAATCTTTTTTGGATAATACTACCAAGATCATTCCTTTTCTGGATTGTTTTGGGGATGGTAATTGAGATGAGACTTAGTGCCTCATGCATTCCAGACAAGCACTATACTCCTGACCCATAGCCTGAATCTTGTCATGAGCATCTTCATGTGTTCAGAGGCTTCCTTGATTGAAAAACTTTCCCCAGCACCCAGGAGATGGAAACAGGGGGATAAAATGTTCAAGGTCATCTTCACCAACACGGTTAGGTTGGGGCAGGCCTGGACTGCTTATTGAGACCCAATCTCAAAACAACAACAAAAATTAAACTAAACAAAATTCTTACACAAAAACCAAAATCAAATAAAAATATAATCTTTATGACTAATACTCATGTACTCGAGCTGGAAAAACATTCTGGGCCTGTGGCTGTGACTTGGTTGGTAGGGTCTTGTCTAGCAAACACAAAGACTTGGGTTCAATTTCCAGCACCACCTAAGCCATAGGTACACATAATCCCAGGGTTCAGGAGGTAGAAGTAGAAGGATCTGAAGTTCAAAATCACCTGTGGTTACATGGTAATTTAAGGCTTGTGGGCTATACCAGATCATGTCTGAAATATAAAGCAAAATATATATAGGGGGCTGGAGAGATGGCTCAGAGGTTAAGAACATTGGCTGTTCTTCCAGAGGTCCTGAGTTCAATTCCCAGCAACCACATGGTGGTTCACAACCATCTGTAATGAGATCTAGTGCCCTCTTCTGGTTTGCAAACATATGTGCAGGCAGAACACTGTATACATAATAAATAAATAAATCTTTAAAAAAATAAAAATAAAATATATAAAAAAGAATCTGTCTGTGTTCTGTGAATCTTCTTAAGTAACGAGAGGCTTAGTCACCTCTATTATGAAAGGTGTATTGGCCAATAGTGACTACCATATCTGCTTCTAAATTTACATAAATCTCAGCACTGACATGCTTACACCATCTCGGCAGGAACCTGGAAGCTCAGTGTTAGGCATTTTGGAAGTTACAGAAGTAAGACCTGAAAGTTAACTGACCCAGAAGTGGATAAGTGCATCAAGTCTCTGAAGAGTTTATAGGAACATGTTGCAATAGATGCCATCTACGCATTTCCTGAAAGGGGATGTGGGAGGAAGGAACTGACCAGCGGACTCAAAACCAGTCCTGCCTACTCACCAAGGTTGGAGAGACTGCACTACCCTGGACCTATTCTTCTGCTGATAGTAGACCTTTGGAGCAGCTGCTAAGCCACCATGATCCCTAAGCTTCTTTCCCTTCTCTGCCTCCGTAAGTTGTTCTGGGTTGTTCACTCCATCTCCAGGAAATCATAAACGTGGTGAGATGCTTTTGATGGGGATTGAAGCTAGATCTCATACCAGATCAGTGTCCTGAGTGTGTAGAATGAACCAGGAATCTCATTGTACATGTTAGGACAAAACCAATGCTCAAATGTAGTAGAAGTAGATGGGGGGAATTAGGGGTTGGGGATGTAGCTGTGTTGGCAGGGTGCTTGCTCACCTAGTGAGTGTGAAGCCCTGGGTTCCAGCCTCAGTACTATAAACTAATTGTGACACAAATCTGTCATCCCAGTACATGGAAGGTGGAGAGAGGCAGATCTTATATTGAAAGACATTTTCAGCTAAGTAGGGACTTCAGGCCAACCTGGACTGCTTGAGACCACACACACACATACACACACACACACACACACACACACACACACACACACACACACAGTAGTGTGGAATGGGAAGGAATCAAAACTGACAAGTTCTCTCTGCTGTTGCTAGCCAAGGCTGGGTCAGCAGCAACTATTTCTTTTCTGTGATGCCAGCTTGTTATGACTGAGACACATCAGAGACCTTCTTGTTTATTATATTTAAATTATTTTGAGTTAGGCTTTTACTATGCAACCCTGTATGACCTGAAACTCAGTACCTAGACTAGACTGGCCTTGAACTCACAGAGATCCTTCTCTCTACACTCTCAGATGGTGTGATTACAGGTTGTACAACCTTGCTTAGGTCTTTTTGATGTAATAATAACTACAATAGGTGATAAACAGTATTGAATAACTTCTAGTCAGGTTGCCATGGCACACACCTGTAATCCCAGCTCTGTAGAAGTGGAGGCAGGAGCGTCAAAAATTCAAAGCCATCCACTTACATAGTGAATTTGAGTCTGTCTGGGTTATATAAGATACTATGTAAAAATAATAACAAACAGATATGGTGGGACATCTTTAATCCCAGTACTGAGAGCAGGAGACAGCTAGGTTTCTGTCTGATCTATAGAGTAAGGTCCAGGATACACAGAGAAATCCTGTCTCTAAGCACCAAAAAGAAAATAAACAAGCTTGAGCACAGTTCCCACAACTTCTTCCATTGAGCTCAGAGTGTCTTTCCCTAATTCATGATATTTTCCTTTTTCCTTTAATTTATTGAGTGTGTGCATGTGCCTGTGCACATGTACATGTGCATGCACACATGTGCACATATATACGACCTATTTAATCCATTTACCTTTAATTATATGGATATGTGTCCATAACTGACCACGTGGCATTGGACAACCTCTGTGGGAACTCATTCCTGGAAGGGACTGATTCCCCTCTCAGCATCCATTCTCCATCTGTAGCTCATCATATAGGGGTCAAACCATGTGGAGGTATGATGGGTTTAATTATAGATATATTTTTATTACATTGATTTATTTGTGTACATTGTAAATGAGTTGTGTGCTTGTGGGCGTGTTTACCTGGCCTCATCTATGTGTGAGGATGTGCATGAATGTGTAGGGGCAAGAGGTCAACCTCACACGTTATTCTTCACTGGCTATTCATGTTGTTTTTGAGACAAGGTCTCTTTTTGGTCTGAGGCTCGCCAGCTTATCTAGGCTGGCTAGCCACTGAGCTCAAAGGATCCTCCTGTCTCCACCTTCCCAGCACTGGGGTTACAAACACACACTACAACAGTGATCTTTTTCACACGGGTATTGGGCATTAAACTTACTTATATGGAGAGATTTACTGACTGAACCATCTCCTGAACCTCCCTCCACAGGGTCTTTTTTTTTTTTCCCTCTGTTTTGAAATAGGATCTCTCTATGCAATCCTTGAACTTACTATGTAGACCAAGCTGGACTCAAACTCACTGAGGTCCTCCTGCTTCTGACTCCTGAGTGTTGTAATTAAAGGCATGCACCACCATGCCCAGCTTCCTCCTCGGGTCCTTGATACCATTAGGAGTAGGCTAACTTCTTATCTCCCCAGTGTCCTAAAGGTTGGTGCCCTTTCCTTGGAGGAGAGGTGATGACCCAATGTGACCCATGTCCCAGTAGGATGGTGACTGTATGAAGCTTGGGGGTACGAATGAGAATTGGAAGGGTTTGTGGAAGCTTGTCGAACTAAAATGGAACCCTTGGAGTGAGATTAACAAAGTGATAATGACCAAACTCAGATATAAGCTGAAGCTACAGCACAGATGAGGGATCATGCAACTCCTCAAAGGCAGACACCAGTGATAAAATGCCAGTGCTCTCAGAGTGCCCCTCTGGACCAGGGAGGGTGACTAGGTGACTCCAGGCAGGAACTTGTGTCTCATGTTTAATTCTTTTCTAGGGCTGTGTGTTGGGCAAACAGATATTCCTGACAGTGGTAAGTGGGTCTTCAGGCAAATTCTCCTTGATTCTTCTCCCCAAATACCCTGTTTTTCCTCTCCCTTTTCAATCTTGTGTGTGTGTCCATGTGCTTATGCAAGTACACATGTGTGTGTGTGCATTCATGTAGAAGTCAGAGGTCAACAGCTGTAGTGTTCTCCGCTGCCTGGGGGACCAGCTGCAGCAGTACAGGGCTCAAAAGAAATCCATGGAGTCTGAGTACCATGACATTTTTATCTGAAAGGTAAAGGAAAAGACACACACACACACACACACACCCACACACACACACACACACACACACACACACACACACTCCTGATGATTTCCTTTTTATTCTATCACTGTATTCCCTTCTCTACAGCTTATATAAGTCAACAAAATCTTTCAGGCAATATAGGAATTACAGTGTGGTTACATTCTATTTTTCAAGTGAATGATTATAACGAATAATGGTAAAAACAAGTTTTTCATCTCTTTTGTGATAAAAAAAAATAGCATCCCAAGGCCTCACATACATTTATAAGTAACCTGTTACAGATTAACAGTGTGAGCAAGCAGGGGATGTTTTCTCGCCATCTTTAACTGGCAGGCTGTGTATTGTGGTTACAAAGAGAGAATCAATCACTTCATTCTTTATCTTGAAAGGCAATCCTATAAGGAATCACAGACCTACACTGTTATCCGTGAAAAACCATCAGCTAGCTCTACTCTAAGTCCTTAGGTTGCGTACCTACTCGTTAATAGTTTCCTATCTCGGGAGACTGAGGGCGAAAGTGGGTACAAGAAATTAATCATCACCTGTGACCATCAGTCAGTCCTAGCAAAGAAAATATGTCAGCGAGTAACAACTGGGCTGCTCTGTAGTTTTGACCCTAACCTAATGAATCTGTAACTCAGCTCTGTGCCCTCGTGAACTTTAGGTTGTTTTTTAGGGTTTTCCAGCACATCTGACTTAACCTGAGCTTATTTTAAGGCTTTGTGTTTCAGCTATGATGCACACTGAAAACTGTGAGTGCATCTTTCAACATTAAGATAAAAAGAATTCGATCCAGCCGGGTCGTTGGAACGCTATTGTTTTCCTTAGTCATTAGCCTGAACTATGAGCTATGCAGCTCTTTAGGTAAAACTCATAGGCCCTCGCCGTATAACACGTTCCTGTATTTATTTTTAATCACCAAAACTTTATTTATTCTAACATTATCATTATCAACTAGACACAAAATTTTTATTAACACAAAACCATCTCCATAATAATCCACAGCTAAAAATGCCCAGCAGAACAGGATGTTTCCATGAGATAAATGCGCTACACTACAGGCAGTGGGACCTCCCCACAGCCACTGACACCATGCTAGACACCAGAGAAAGATGACAGTGGCAAACCCATAAAGGCACAGCAGAAGAAAAAGACATTCTGGAGACTGTTCTCACGGCCTTGCCTCTCTGAGATTCACCCATCATGGATTTGCCTTCTCGTGGACTGACACCTCAAACTTCAGTTACCACCTGCTCAGTACCTCTGACATGGTTACAAGCAAGTGTATTTTCCCAGGAGTCCTCATCCTTTTTATTTTATTTCATTTTATTATGTGGCATGCTGTAAATCTTACGCTTTTTCTTTGAGGCAAGTTCTTTCATTGGGCCTGGGGCATGCAGATTAGGGTAGACTAGCTGGCCAGACAGCCCTAGGGGCCCATCTGTCGCCACGTCCCCAGCAATGGGACTGCAAGTATACACTACCAAAACCTGATTTCTATGCAGAGGCCAGGATTCCAACTTAGGTACTCATGCTTGCATAACAAGTACTTTACTAATTGAACTACCTCCACAGTACTTTCTTGTAGACAGAAGTTTCTGTCCTGACTATTTCCACAGCTATTCAGTCCCAAACAAACACACACAGGCTTACATTAATTATAAACTGTCTGGCCTATTAGTTCAGGCATATTATTAACTAGCTCTTACAATTTAAATTCTTGTATATTTTTAGCCTCACTTTTATCAATGAGGCATTCTCATCTTGCTTCCTCTGTATCTGGTGGTGAGTGCATCTCTGCCTTCCTCTTCCCAGAATTCTCCTCATCTGGTTGCCCCGCCTATACTTCCTGCCTGACTTGACTATAGGCCAATCAGCGTTTTATTAAACCAATGTGAATAACAAACCTTTACAGTGTACAAGAGCTGTATCCCACAGTACTCTCTTCTTCGCTACAAAAAAGAGGAGGGAGGAGCTCTGTGAGCAGGTAAGTATGTCTGATGCAGCCCTGGGCTCTGTTTGCTTCCAGGGCCGCCTCCCAAGCCTAGCCTCAGCGCTTGGCCCAGTTCAGTGCTTCCCACCAAGAGCAGTGTGACAATGCAATGTAGGAGCCCCACCCCAAGTAAATTCTTCATCCTCAAAAAGGAAGGGCTTGTTTTTGATTCTAAGAAGCCAAATGATTCGACAGAGATGACTGAGTTTCATATCCCTGAGCTACAACAGAATGATGGAGGACAGTACACCTGTGAATCCTATAGCAAATGGCACAATGGCATATCATCACAGCCCAGTGATGCCCTTCTCCTTTTGGTCACAGGTGAGAAGGGCTTGTCTCAGGGAGATATATGGTATCTTCAGAGAGAGGTGGAGTGAGGGACTGGAAGAAGGGAGGAAGAAGAGGGGCTGGATCTCCAGAACAAGGGATAAAGGAGCAGGAATGTGGTTCCACCTAGGCTTTGTGAGAGAGGAAAATCTCTGTCCTGGAGCCACAGTGCACAGTGAGAGGACGAGGCTCATGAGCTTTCTGCCACAGGAAAAAGAATTTAAAAACAAAAAACAAACAAACAAGCAAACAAACAAACAAAAACCTTATCAGGCTGTGGTGCACACGTTTTTTATTCCAGCAATAGAGAGGCAGAGGCAGGTGGATCTCTGTGAGTTTGAAGCCAGCCTGGTCTACAGAGCTAGTTCCAGAACACAGAGAAACCCTGTCTCAAAAAAACCAAAAGGAATAACACCACCACCAACAAAAAACAAGAATGTGCATGAGGCCAACAGTTTCTTCCCTTGCGCTCAGAGCCTCTTTCTTGTCCAGGGTACTTGCCTAAACCTTCCCTCCAAGCTTACCACTGGGGCACAGTGGCTGCGGGAAGCAAGGTGACATTGCAGTGCCAGAAGGAAGGCAGTGTGCTCGGACCCATAAGCTTTGCCTTGCTGAAGGAGGGACGCTCATCTCCTGTGCAGATGAGGAGCTCAGTGGGAACGGTGCTAGACTTCTCTCTTCAGAATGTGACAGCCAGAGATTCGGGGAAATACAGCTGTGTGTACTACCAGCCTAGGGCTCGCTATCGGGCCTCAGCCCCCAGCGATCCCCTTGAGATCTCCGTGGCAGGTAAGGTTTGCTATTATTTTCTGAACACTTGTGTCTGTCTGTGTGATGTGGGAGGGAGTAGTTAGCACACATGTTTTATTTATTTATGTATTTATTTATTTATTTAGGATTTGCTTCAAGGTATATTTTCTCCACCTAGGTTCTATTTACATCTCTTTTTATATTACCTTTTTAGAAATACAAAGAGATTCAATACGCACATTTTCTCAAAGCTGAAGCATATCCTTTCTCCCTTAAGTCCCATTGCAAAGTAACACCATGTTGTAGTCTATAAAGCAGGCAACTTTATAATGCAATGTGAATTACAATTTGGATGATAAAAGTTATTACACATGAGTGAGTTTGATCTCCAAATCAATGAAACAAATTATGTTCCCTGTTTTGTAGCATATGGTATCCTCATAATTGCCTAGCATACATGTTTTATTTAGTTATGCAAATATTTATATTTTTTTGATTGTTATTATTATTGTGTTGAGACAGAGTCTTACTATATAGCCCAGCTGGCCTTGTAACTCACTATGTAGACCAGGCTAGCCTCAAATTAACAGAGATCTGCCTGCCTTTGTCTCTGAATACTAAGACTAAAGGGATGCACTGCTACTCTGCTGGCTTCTTGTTATTTTAACTAGTCTTTTGGATCACTGTAAAGTTAATCATAATGGGGTATAGAATCACTAAAAAAAATAAATCTCTGGGCTTGTCCATGAAGGATTGTCTGGACAAGGTTAACTAAGGTAGGAAGACTCATCCAAAATGCAGTTGGTGCCATCAATGGACTTCGATCTCAGACTAAATAAAAAGGCTACAGTGAACTGAGCCCCAATCTCTCTCTCTCTCTCTCTCTCTCTCCTGACTGTGGATGCTCTTGCTGTCATGCCTTCCCCACGATGATCCACAGCAACCTCACAAAGTGAATCAGAACAAACCCTTCCTTTGGTTGCTTTATTTGGGTATTTGATCACTGATAACAGCACACAAAATAATGAGTTTAATCAGGTGTCTGTACACAAGTAACAAGGACATTTATTCTTACTCCCTCACACCTTCCCTTGCCATGCCTTGTCCCCTGCCTGCCCCCAAACTGTGCTCTTCTCTTCTCCTGGTTAGTTTCAATGTCTGCTTTGTTGTTCAATGCATTCTATTATCTATTCTTTATTCTCCCCTAATTCTTGTCCCCACTTCTCGTAATCCCCTGTGTAGTTTAGAGCCCCCCATACATGAATACACACATTCATGCACATATACATATAATTTTTAACCTATTTTTTACATTTGAAAGAAAACATATGCTTCTCTTTCTGAATCTGGTTTATTTAACATAATGATCTCCAGTAGACCCATGACTTTATTTTTCTTCATGGCTATATAAAATTCTGTTAAGTACACATATCACATTTGCTCCCTTCTTCTAATGATGAATGCCTAGGCTGGCTCAGTTTCCTTGCTGTTATGAATAAGGTAGCAGTAAATATGAAGGACAGGCATCTCTGTGATATGTTGACTTAGAGTCCTCTAGGTATGTACCAAGGAGTGATACAGCTGGATTGTATGATAGTCTTCTTTGCAAATTTTTGAAGAAACTTCCATACTGATTTCTATGGAGGTTGCACAGGTTCACATACTTCCAGCAATGTTGAGGCTGCCTCTCTCCCAACTTCAGCACCACCTTTTGTTGTTACTTGTTCAGCCATTTGGATTGTGATAAGATAGAATCTCATGGCAGCTTCAATTAGCTTTTGTCTGATGGCTAAGACTATTGAACATCTTTGTAAACTGTTTAAAAGTCATTTGTGCTTCTGGCTCCGAGAACTGTCTATTCAGTTCCTTCACTCATACATTACGACTTTTATTGCTTAACTTTCAGAGTTCTTTATATATTCTATGTAATTATCCTCTGTCTGATGCACAAGATTTTTCTCCATTCTTCATGATGTCTATTTTTTATTTATTTTTCAATTCAAAATTTTACACTTCCTCCCCTCCTCCCAATCCCCTCCTGCTCCCCCACTTGCCCTCCTCCCTCCCCCTGCCCTGTGAGAAGTCCAAGGCCCTCCCTCCTCCATCCAGGCCTAGGAAGGTGTGCATTCCAATAGACTAGGGTGCCAAAAAGCCAGCACATGCAGTAGAAACAGGTCCCAGTGCTATTATTGATGGCTTCTCAGTCAGCCCCCACTGTAGAGTGTTTCCTTTGTCATACAGAGTCTTTTAATTTCATGCAGTCCCCTTTGTTAGCTCTCTGGATTGCTTCCCATGCTATCAAAGTGTTATTTCGGCAAGTCCTTGTCTATGTCTATATCTCCAGTGCTTTCCCTCTAGTACTGTCGAAGGTTCTGATCTAAGGTCTTTGGTCTATTTAGAATTGACTTTTGTGCAGGGTGAGAGATGTGCTTTCATTCTTCAACAACTAGACATCAGTATTCTCGCATTATTTGTTAAAGAGGATATATTCTGCAATTTGTTTTTATTGTTTTTGAGACAAGGACTTGCTCACTTTGTAGCCCAGGCTGCCATGAAACCCATGGAGATCTGCCTAGTCCCAGAGTGCTGGAATTAAAAGTGTGCACCACCATGCCTGGCTTCAGTGTATGTTTTTTACTACATCATCAGAATTAGGTGAATCACACCACATGAGCTGATTCCTGGTCATCCATTCTATTTGACTGATCTACATGTCTGGTTTTACACTAGTGCCATTCTGCTTTTGTGGGTTTGCTGTTGTTCCTATCACATAGATAGATAGATAGATAGATAGATAGATAGATAGATAGATGATAGATAGAGTATCATGATGCTCTCAACATGGCTTTTCTGCTAAAAAATATTTTTGCTATTTGATGTCTTATGTGCTTCCATATGTATTTCAGCATTGCTTCTTCTAGTACTGTAAAGAATATTGTTGAGATTTTGATAAAGATTGCATCTGTGGATTGCTTTTGGTAATAGAATCCTTTTACAATATTAATTCTGAAAATCCATGAGCATAGGAGGTCATTCCATGTTCTAGCATCTTCTTCAGTTTCTTCAGTGAGTTGACATTTCACTGTAAAGATATTTGACCTCCTACACTTATTCCTGTAGATATAATCAAACGTTTATAAGTGGGTTTTCTCCCTGATGTAGTTCCATTACTGTTTGAAGTTTTCAACACTATCCAAAGTTTTCTGTCATGGTGTTGTTCCCTTAAATGCTACACACCTTGTTTGTAAATCCTCCGTTTGCCTTTGCAATCTCCAACAGAGAGTGATCACTGCTAGGTGTGAAGGTCTGTGTAGTCGGTAATGATAGGTGAAGAGTGACGCTTATATGGTGGTGAAGTTGCCTGCCTCTCCCTGTGGGTTTTGCCTGCAGGTGAGCTTGCTACTGGTGTGTTTAGTTATGAAGCTGCACTCTTTGGGATGAACTCATTCTTGTGTGGTATCTTTAAAAACAGATCAACGCCCAGCATCACATCAGCTCCTCCTCCTCTTTTTCTTTATCCTCCTCTCTTTCTCCTTCTCCTTCTCCTTCTCCTTCTGCTTTTGCTCTCTCTCTCTCTCTCTCTCTCTCTCTCTCTCTCTCTCTCTCTCTGTGTGTGTGTGTGTGTGTGTGTGTGTGTGTGTGTTCATGTGTTTAAGTGCACTCACATGCCAAGATGCATGTGTGGATGTCACAAGACAGCAATGGTCCCTTTCAGTCTCTTTGCCTTTTTCCCTGGGCGAGACAGGGTTACTTGCAAGTTCACTGCTGCAGATACCAGGCTAGCTGGCCCTCAAACTTCTGTAGGTTCTCCTGCTATCTCACTACAGTATATGGTTTTGATATGCACTACTGTATCCAGCTTTATGTGGGTTCTGGGGTTCAGGCACTTTGCCCACTTAGCCATTTCCCTCACTCCTTACCATTCAATAGCTCCTCTTAAATGAAGGGGAGATGAACAGTGAAACAGCCTTTCCTCTGCTAGGTTCAAATTTTCTGAAACTCACAGCCTATATGGCATTTTGTGGTCCAAGGAGGCTTGCTGGCCTGCCACTGATTTCTGTGTTCTGTAGATCTATGTGTCTCTCCTTTGATCTATGCATTGTATCAACAATTAACCCCTAATACATTAAGGAAAATAGAGAAATGGAAGAGAGCAGAGGTAGAAATAAGATAAAGCCAAAAAAGGAAAAGAGCCAATGTAACTGGAGGTTGCTGTCTTGCCCACCATTTCCCTAAGAACCACTCTGAGGCTTAATATTAATTATAATTGTTTGGCCTATTAGCTCAGGCTTATTGTTAACTAGCTCTTACAACTTAAATTAACACATTTTCATTAGTCTATGTTTTATCATCAGGCTCGTCGCTTTCTATCTCACATCTTGCTTCCCCGGCAGCTGCTAGCATCTCCTCTGAGTCTGCCTTCTTTCTCCCACTATCTCTGTTTGTATTTCCTGTCTAGCTATATTCTGCTCTGCCACAAGCCAAAGCAGCTTCTTTATTAACTGGTGGCAATAAAACATATTCACAGCATAGAGAGGAGCATCCCCACATTAAGCTAAGGTAAACACAAGGAAAAGAAAGTAAAGGAATACCCATTTCAAGTTAAATTTTAAAACCCATTTAGAGTTAAGTCTTTAGAGAACAGAGTCCATTATGCAAGTGGACATATGGGAGTCAGATTTGTTCAATCTGTCTGTGAAGGCAGGATGCCCTCTGTGGCCAGTCATGATCATCTTCTCCCTTTCAGAGTCACCAGATACCATGACAGAAGGCTACACACCCCCAGACTCCTTGACAGAAGGCTATGTCATGGGTAACCTCATTCGTCTTGCACTGGCAGCTGTAATTGTGCTAATAATGGGAGGCTTCCTGATTGAAGCCTGGCATAGCCAGAGGCTGTCTCCAAATAGACTCTGGTAAAATAATTGAACATTCCTTTTTTTTTAATGGTCTCTTGTGTTATTATGAGGGTTTTCTTCATCCCGGGTTGATAGAGGTATAATTGACAGATACAAGTTGAATTGTATTTATTATGTACAAGCAATATATTGGCATATTTAATTATAAAAAGTAAGTGTATGTGTGTTTTGCCTGAATGTATGTCTGTGTAGCAGATGTATGTCTGTACCATGTGCATGTCTGATGCCTGAAGAGGCCATAAGAGGGTATTGAAATCCTTGGAACTGAAGTTCCAAAGCACAAATGGTTGTGAGCAACCATATGGGTGCTGGAAATTGAACCAAGATCAAGCAAGAACACCCAGTACTTTTAACCACTGAGCCATCCTTCCAGCCCCAACATATTTAATTTTCATGTATCAATTATACTCTAATCACCCTAGGAAAAAAGTAAGTAATCAATTATGTGCTGAATAAGAAGTTTCACCAGTCATGAAATGGCCTCCACAAAGCAGCTATCGAATCTGCCCACCAATCTGGACCTACATTTGTGGCAATTTTTAATTATCCAATTCAGCCATGTTACTTATAGTAACTATGCCCTACCCTAAATCAATATAGGTTCATCTAAAAGACAGGTCCCCCACAGTGGTGTCTCAGGATTCTCCACACAGGCACACAGGAAAATTCCTTTCACCAAAGGGTAGGGATAATAAGAAGGGGCTACAGAGATGACTCAGATGTTAAGAGCACTTGTTGCTCTTACCGTGGACAGAGTTTTGTTCCAGAGTATCCAGTGTTCTCTTCTGACTCTGAAAGCACTTGGCACACAAATGGTGCACATAGTATACATGCAGGCAAAAACTCATACACATAAAATAAAGTGATAAATATCAAACAATGAAAAAAGTAGTCCGGGGGTATAGCTCAGTGGATGGAGCACTTGCCCGTCCTTTATTCTTTAGAAGTTATTTTATGTTTATGGAGGTTTGCCTGCATTTTTATCTGTGCATCATTTTCATGAAGTGCCCAAGGAGGTGAGAAGAGGACCATGGATTCCCTGGAGCTGGAGTTAGAGATGTCAGTTATGAAGTCCAGTACTTGGTACTCAGCTCTGCATAAACAGTTTATAGTTTATGGTGTACACTTGTAATCCCAGCATTTGGGAGTCAGGAGTTTAAAGTCATCCTTGGCTACATAGCAAGTTTGAGGACAGCTTGACCATGAGACTCTGTCTCAACACCCTCCCTGCAAATGAAACATTTAAGAAGGACATTTGAACATCTCCAGATGGGAAGGGTGGGAAATGGGTGTGGGTGAAAATCTCCCAAATTTAGCGGTTGTCTTCCCTTCAATTAACCTTTGACTTTCTTTACCCACAGGCCCCACAATGCCCCAGAGAAATAATGAATCCTTGGTGAAATGGGACAAAATTATCCCTGTGAATTTCTGTGCAACCGTGATGGCAGCTTTTGTGGGAATCACCCCAGGACAGAATGATGGCTGCCTCATTCTGACTCTTCACATAGAATAGAGGCCATACTTGATTACAGATGTAATGAGTCTTTCTCTGTTCCACCTGCCAGCCCCCAAGTAACCACACAGAGACTTATTAATTATGAAAGCTTGGCCCTTAGCTTAGGCTTGTTCCTAGCAAGTTCTTATAACTAAATTAACCAATATTTTTTAATCTGTGTTCTTTTACTTGGCTTGGTTACCTTTGCTCTGTACTGCCCATCCTGTTTCCTTCACATCTGACTGAAGACCCCCCTTACTCTTTCCCTGAGACCTCTCTGTTCCCAGAAGTCCTGCCTAACCTCTTCCCGCCTAGCTGTTGGCCATTGAGCTCTTTACCAAACCAATCACAGTGACACATCTTCACACAGTGAAAAGGAATATTCCACAGCATACAGTTGTTTACCTGACACATTAGTATTTATATAGAAATAAACGCGTGTACGTGTGTGTGTGTGTGTGTGTGTGTGTGTGTATTTTCTTCCTTTCTTTCTTTCTAACACTTTTTTTCCTTTTGGTGTTTCCAAGACAGGATGTTTCTACTATGTAGCCATAACTGTCCTAGACCAGGCTGGCCTTGAACTCACAGACATCCATCTAATTCTTCTTCCCAATGCTGAGATTAAATGGGATTTGTCACCATACACAGCCCCAGTTTGCATTTTCTTAAGAACATACATGTTGCCATGCCTTTAATCTTGGCACTTGGAAGCAGAGACAGGCAGATCTCTGAGTTCGAGGTCAACCTGATCTACAGACTGATTCTAGAACATCCAGAGCTATACATAGAAACCCTGTCTCAAAAAACAAAACAACAAGAATATACATGTTAAGTGTCTTCTGTTGGTTATCTAGAATATATGTTATATATTTACCTTGATACACATCATATTTATTACAGGTTTCCTACATATATATTCTTTTTAAAAGATTTATTAATTTTCATGTGTTTTGATGGTTGTAAGCCAGCACGTGAGTGCTGGAAAATGGAACAAGGTCCTTCCTAGCAGTAGTAAGTGCCCCTAATTGTTGAACCACTGCTCTAGTCCCCAAATATATTCTTAGTGAATACTTTATCTGTTCTTTTTAAAATTATCCATGGCAAGTAGTAGTTTGTAGTAAAGTGTTGTTATGACTCTTCGGTTCAGGCAGGTAATGAACTTTGGTCATATTCATCCCTCTGTTACTCTTTCTCATCCCCAATCTTCCTTACTCTGCTCCCCTTCCACATCTTTAATGGTTTGAATGTGAAACATAACCCCACGGGCTCATGTGCCCAGACAACATGGCTGTGTAAGTGGGTCACAGACGGTAGACCTTGAGGTTTATAGTTGTATGATGGTTGGTTTTGATTGTCAACCTGACACAATCTAAATCGCCTGGGACATCTTAATGAGGAACTGTCTACATTAATTGGCCTGTGGTCATGACTGTGGGGATTTTCTTAATTGGGTTTAATTATGGTGGGAAGACCTGCTCTGACTTTGGATGGCACCATTTCTTGGGTCACCCATTTTTATTTTTATTTTTCCATTCAAAAATTTCCACTTCCTCCCCTCTTCCCATTCCCCTCTCGCTCCCCCACTCACTCTCCTCCCTTCCCGTCCAGTCTTAAGAGAGGGCAGGATACCCTGCCCTGTGAGAAGTCCAAGGCCCTCTCCCCTCCATCCAGGCTTAGGAAGGTGTGCATCCAAATAGACTAGAGTCCCAAAAAGCCTGTACATACAGTAGAAACAAGTCCCAGTGCCATTATCAATGACTTCTCAGTCAGCCCCTATTGTCAGCCACATTCAGAGAGTCCAGTTTCGTCACATGCTCATTCAGTCCCAGTCCAGCTGGATTTGGTGAGCTCCCATTAGAACAGGCACACTGTCTCAGTGGGTGGACCAGCCCTTCGCGGTCCTGACTTCCTTGCTCGTCTTCTCCCTCCTTCTGCTCTTCAACTGGACCTTGGGAGCTCAGTCCAGTCCTCTGATGTGGGTCTCTATCTCCATCCATCACCGGATGAAGGTTCTATGGTGATATTCGAGATATTCGTCAGTGTGGGTCACCCAATTTTCCAAGAGCGAAAGAGATGGGTATTAACATATATGCATTAATTCATTACTTACTGCTCTTGACCATGGAAGCAATATGACTAGCTGCTTCAGGTTTCTGTTGCCTTAATGTCCCTTTAATGCTGGACTTTGACCTGGAATTGTGAGTCAAATAAAGCCTATCAAATTGCATTTGGGTTGTTTCATTTCTGTTTTGAAATTGAGTCTCACCATATAGCCCTGGCTGTGCTGGAACTTACTTTGTAGACTAAATTCTCCTTAAACTGTAGATCCACCTGCTTCCACCTAGGGTGTGCTAGGGATAAAGGTGTGCACCACCAGGCCTGGTCTTTGTTGGGATGTTTTATCATAGCCTTAAGGGAAATGAAATTTACAACAGCCTGCTTCTTGTTCCACCTCCAAGCTCCCTGAGCGATGAGAAAAGCTTCCAACAAATGCTCCCCCTACACAAAACAATGTCTCCCTTGAGTTGGTTCTGTCAGGTATTTTCTCACAGCAATAAGGAAGGTAAGGAATATGACATCAGTAACTGTCCCTCATTCTTGACATTTTTTCTTCCTTGATCCTATGCATGAAAGAATGAATGTGGCACTGGCTTGGTGGGCCTGGCATATTTTACTTAATGTGACTGGGTTGTTTCTGTGAAAGCAAAGGGAGGACTATTGGCTAGGGTAGAAGACTGGAGAAGATGGGAGAGGGCTGAGACAGAGGAGAGGGATGAAGAAGAACAAAAGCCGCAGGGTCAGAGAGATGGCTCAGCGGTTAAGAGCACTGGCTGCTCTTCTAGAGGTCCTGAGTTCAATTCCCTGGAACTACACTGTGGCTCACAACCATCTATAGTGGGATCTGATGCCCTCTTCTGCTCTAAAAGCATAGAGCACTCATATACGTTAAATAAATAAATAAATAAATAAATAAATAAATAAATAAATGATATATATGCACGAAATTGTCTATGAAATGCATCATTTTGTATGTAAACCTAAAATAAATAACATTTTATTTATACTTTTTAATTTTATGTATGTATGTGTGTCTGTGTGTGAGCAGGCGCTCGAGGGCAGATGTGTCTGTTCTCCCTGCAGCTGGAGGTACAGGCAGTTGTGAGCCACCTGACTTGGGTGCTGGGACTCAAACTCAGGTGCTCTGGAAGACAGGCATGTTCTCTTAGCCGCCGATCCATCTGCCCAGCCCTGAAAACAAATGATTTTGAAAGGAAGACATGAGATTAAGAGGGAGATTGATGAAGGTGCTGGGGAGACTTGAGAAGGTATAGGCGAGATACACTGTATTCATTCATGAAATTTTCAAAGAAAGAATAACTTCAGAAGGACATAAAATAATTTGCCGAGGGGGCTGGAGAGATGGCTCAGCGGTTAAGAGCATTGCCTGCTCTTCCAAAGGTCCTGAGTTCAATTCCCAGCAACCCACATGGTGGCTCACAACCATCTGTAATGAGGTCTGCTGCCCTCGTCTGGCCTTCAGGCATACCCACAGAAAGAATATTGAATACATACATAATAAATAAATAAATATTTTAAAAATTTTGCCTAAAGATATTATAGTTACAGAATAATTAGACTAAATAACCAGAGAAAAATGATAACCAAAGTGTAAAACTAAAAAAAAAGTGGGGGGGCAGACAGGTAGGATGGTGGGAAGGGTATAAAGATAGGAGGGGCCTAGTTTGAAAGGAGGGGGCTGGCAGGAGTAGGAAGGGGATGAATATGAACAGAGGACACTATATGCAAGTATTACATTGTCAAAAAATGAGCAAATTAAAATGGAAAGCATCTTAGGTAAGATTTCAGTTGAGAAGGGCAGGTCCCAGGGTGGGCAGAGCTGCATGGCACCCAGGCTGACAGAGATGTCATCATCCAAGGCTTCTTGCTTCCTGTGTCTGTTCAGGAAGGAAACTGTGCAAACAACTATGAAAGCAACCCAAGCGTCAGGGCAAAGCTTCAGCCTGCAGGTTCCAGGGACAAAGTGGGGCCAGGAGAGAACTGTGGTCTCCTCCTGCCCTGCCAATCCTTCCTGAGAACTGAAGACCGGACCTTGGCTTAGGGAGAAGGGGAGCTATGGACATAGATTTCATATACCTGCTTTGCCTGGGTGAGTCTCCAGGGCTATGACAAGTGCTTGCTTGGATGAGAAAAGCTCACAGCAGGGTCAAGGTGGTGACTATGGAAATGCAGTAATGAGGGTGTCTATGTGTGGGTGTGAGAGACTTGGTATGGGGGGGTCTCAAGGACATCTGTATCAGTGCCACACCTAAAGACACTGATTACTGCAAGAAGTTCAAGCTCCATAAGGGTCTCTGCATCTCCTTTCGGGCACCCAGAACGTTGCCTGGTCATGCCACCAGATTAGAAAGGGGTTGAGGTGCAGGAACTGCCGAATGCAGAGCTGTGGGTAAGATGCAGATTTTTTCCAACCATCCCCATCCTGGGGCTGATTTTAACAACATAGGTTTGAACTACCCACATGTAGATATCTCGGTACATGAAGAGGAAGAGGGGGCTGCTGGCTGGGTTGCATCATACAGCAGCTCCCATTTAAGAGGCCCCTTGTTCCTCCCTGGTGCAAGAGTAGGGTCAAGATGTGTGGGCATGGCAATCAGAAGGCCACATCTGCCCCGTTCCTTCCTATTTTACTGCTCACAGTATTCCCTCCCGGTCAGTGCTTCTTTCTGTGTATGCTCTTTAGAGAGAGTCTCCAGCCACAGACCAGGTTGGCAGCTCCTCTTGGAAATGTCCTGATACAGCCCGAGCTGCTTTATTGGGGCAGCTGTACCTAAGTGTCACCAACTGTTGGTTTAGAACAATGGAAAATAAATTTCTTGATTACGTGAGTTATGGAAATCAAGGTGTAGACAACACTGGTTCCTTTGGAAGGAGAGAAGGGAGATCTTATTCCAGGCCTCTCTTTGTAGCTTCTGGTAACAGTTGGCAATGTGCTTGGGGGCTCCATTTATTGTTGCTATTGTTTGACATTTTTTAAATGTATTTAAAGGCTGGGGCCTTAGTCAGGGTTTATATTGCTATGAAGAGACACTGTGACCATGGCAACTCTTATAAAGGAAAACATTTAGTTGGGGCTGGTTTACAGGTTCAGAGATTTAGTTCATTATCCTCTTGGCAGGAAGCATGGCAGCAAACCATCATGCTGTGGAGGTAACTGAGAGTTCTACGTCTGAAGTGGCAGGCAACAGAGAGAGGAGGCGAGGGGGGGGGGGGCGGAACTGGGCCTGGCTTGAGCATTTGAAACCTCAAAGCCTATATCCATGGAAATACTTCTTTCAACAAGACCCACTTACTCCAACAAAGACAAATGTCCTAATTCTTTCAAATAATTCCACTCCCTATGAACCTCTAGGGGCCATTTTCATTCAAACTACCACACAGGGTTTCACTAGGTAGCCAGAGCTGGCCAGGAACCTACAGAGGTCCACCTGCCTCTACCTCCTGAGTACTGGGATAAAAGGCTTGCACCACCATAGAGTGCTCCCTTCTGAACCCCCATTAGGCACAGACCACACTCAAACACCAATTTCTAACACAAAGAGATCTCATATTAAGCAAGACACAGAAACAGCGTGGCTGAATCTTAATCAGACAGAAACAGCAGCAAGCGGCTCTGCATGAGTGAGTTTTAAGGAGAAAAAAAAAGTAGAATTGACAGTCCGTTTTGGGGATAAGAAAATGGCCAAATAGGGGACACAAAAGAAGGGGGAAGAACAGGGGACCTCTCTTGTTTGCCATGTTTGGGCCATTGGCGCCCTTCACTGACTAGAGTTTAATCATTGGATGTCCATGCCACAGCGGAGGAGAATCAACTCCTTCAAGCTGATCTCCACACACATGCCGTGGTACCTATGATCTCCACACACGCCATGGTACCTATGATCTCCACACACATGCCGTGGTACCTATGATCTCCACACACATGTCATGGTACCTATGATCTCCACACACATGTCATGGTACCTATGATCTCCACACACACGCCATGGTGCCTATGATCTCCACACACATGTCATGGTACCTATGATCTCCACACATGCCATGGTACCTATGCCCTCATGAGCTCTCAAGCTGATCTCCACACACACGCCATGGTGCCTATGCCCTCATGAGCTCTCACAAGAGCGCACACATGGCATAGACACACTTAGTAAGTCGCTAAATAAAAAACAAAGTGAATACAAATGTTTGCATGGGTTTCAGTATCAAGAGCCCTCCACAAGTGGGAGAAAGCCACAGCTGACGAACAGCAGCAACAGGAGGAACATCACTGATGGCAACTGTGGGTCTGGCCCCTGGAGCCATCTGGGCCAAGCCTGATGCCGCCAGGCCATTTTTCCTTTGCTCTGTTGGCATGCTACTGCATGGGTTGAGGGGCTGAAAGCAGGGCCCTGGGCAGCTATGGTTCTACAGCTTTGAAAGCTTGTTCACTGTGGTGGCTTGAAGGAGAATAACCACACAGGCTCATACATTGGAAATACTTGGTCTCTACTTGGTGAGAATATTTGGGAAGGATTAAGAGACGTGGCCTTGTTGGAGCAGATGAACTGGAGTTACAGACGGGAGCCACCATGTGGGTGCTGGGAATAGAAACCTGGTCCTCTGGAAGGGAAGTCGGTGGTCTTAACACCTGTATCTCTCCACCCCATATATATTTTATATGAATATTTATCCTTTGAAAAATTTATACACATATACTATACATTGTAATCATTTATCCCCACTCTCTTCTTTAACTCCCTCCAGGATTTCCAAGAACATCTCCCTCCCAAATCTTCCTTCCTTTTTTCCTTCCTTCTTTCTTTCTTTTTCATTACTTCTTTCCTTCCTTTTGTTCTTCCTTCTTTCTTTCCTCCCTCCCTTCCTTCCTTCCTTCCTTCCTTCCTTCCTTACCTCATTGATTTCAATTAGTGTTGACCATATGCCTATAGGTATGAGGTCATCCAATGGGACACAGGCGACCTACCTGTGGTTACACCCCTAAAGCAAAGTGGCTCTCCTTCCCTCAACAGCAATTAACTAAGGGTGGAACCTCAGAGCCCCCACCACTCCATGCTGGAATCCCCTCTCCCCAGCCCCCAAACAGGGTTTCTCTGAGTGGCCCTGGCTATCCCAAGAACTCCCTCTGTAGACCAGGCTGATCTCAAACTCAGAGACCCGCCAGTCTCTCTCCCAAGTGCTAGAATTAAAGGTATGCAACGGCTTGATCCTGTGCGGCTGGCTGCTGTGGCTTCATATAAATCTCCATGAAAGAGGGAAAATTACCCAAGGCACATTGATTTTTAAACAGTTACTGAGGTAAAAGTCACAGAACATAAAACCAATGACTTGAAAGTCTACACAGCAGGGACAGTTGGTATATTCACAGTATTGTGCAGCTACCACCTCTATCTAGTTCCAAGACACTGTCACCACCCCCACAGAGACACTATGCTCATTGAGCTCCCCACACCTCCTGCTCCTGGCATCTACTAATAAGCTTTCTGTCTCTCTGGATTTGCATATTCTGGATAAGGTATGGAACAGAACGACACAATGTGTAATTCTTGGTCCCTCACTTTTAGTTAGTATGTTTTTCATTCTGTTCTCCTTCCTCCACCTCCCAAGTGATCCTCCTGCCTCTGTCTCCAAGGGCAAAAACTACAGGAAAGTAAATTAATGCCCACTCTACATGGAGATAGAGATAGAAGCCACTGTTCTATGCATGCCAGGCAAACACTCTGCCAATTGAGCTAGATCCCAGCTGTAGACAGTCTCTTTGTGTCGGGGCAGTCAGTTCTGTCCCACCAGTTGACTCCCAAATAACCACACAGAGACTTAATATTAATTATAAATGCTCAGCCAATAGCTTAGGCTTATTTTCAACTAGCTCTTATAACTTAAATCAACCCATTTCCATTCATCTATATGCTGCCCCAAGGCTCATTTACCTCATGTACGCACTTTCCATCCTGCTCAGTTTGCATCTCATGGAGTCTCCTCAAGACTCCTCAGACTCCATCCTCCTTCCCAGCATTCTGTCTTCTCCAAAAATCCTGCCTACCTATTGGCCAATCAGCTTTTTATTAACAATGAGAACAACACATTTCACAGTGTACAGAAAGATTATTCCATAGCACTTGATCCTGAATTTAAAAGCAAGAATTAAGAAGACATTTACCTCCTGGCAGTGGTGGTTCACACCTTTAATCCCAGCACTCTGGAGACAGAGGCAGGTAGATCTCTGTGAGTTTGAGGACAACTTGGCCTAAAAATAAAGTTCCAGGACTGCCAGAGCTGCTATGTGAGAAACTTTGTCTAAAAAAATGATGATGATGATAATATTATTATGATGATGATGATGATGATGAAGAAGAAGAAGAAGAAGAAGAAGAAGAAGAAGAAGAAGAAGAAGAAGAAGAAGAAACTTAACAGTCAGTCAGTCATGGCCATTCTAATGGCTACCACCCCCTCTGCCCACCCTCAAGCTCTCTCCTAGTTAGCTCTAATTGTCAATTGACACACCCTAGAAATGGCGTAGGATCATCTGAGAGGAAAGACTCCACTAAGGAATTGCCTAGATCAAACTGGGCATGTCTATGGGGGATTGTCTTAATTTCTTGGTCACTAATTTATGCAGGAGTGCCCAGCCTTCTGCATAAATATCCCTGTGGAATATTACTTTAAACTGTGTGAATATATGTTGCCATAATTGGATTAATAAAGAAGCTGACTGGCCAGTAGTTGGACAGGCTACCATCAGGTGGGAATACCAGACTAACGACACTGGGAAGAAAGACAGAGTCGGAAGAGTTGCCAGCCAGACACAGAGAGGAAACAGCAGAAAGAGAGTCCAAGGTGAAAGAGAGGTAATGACACGTGACAGAATGTAGATTAGTAGAAGTGGGTTAATTTAAGTTGTAAGAGTTAGCTAGTAACAAACCTGAGCTATTGGCCAAGCATTTGTAATTAATATTAAGTCTCTGTGCATTTATTTTGGAGTCAGCATTCCCCAAAAACACTCAACCTACATAGCCCACTGTTGGTGGCACCATCGCTAGACAGGTGGGCCTGGGCTGTATAAAAGCGTCAGCTATATATGAGACGGGTAAGTGAACCAACAATCAGTCCTTCCATGGTTTCTGCCTCCCAGTTCCTGCCCTGATTTTCCTCAATAATTGGTTGTTGCCTTGATGTGGAAACTAAATAAACCCTCTCCTCCCCAGGTTGCTTTGGATCAGTGTTTTTATCACAGCAACAGAATGAAAGTAGAACAGATTAGAACTCAAACAAATGTGTATCTCTCCAGATAGGACACTGACGACCGAAGAAATGATTCTGGTACTGGTTGTCTCATGGTCTCAGACTTAACCAGGTGTCTTCAAGTTTGTGTGTGTGTATGTGTTTCTTCAAATAACTGAAAACATACACAAATGGTAAAATAGCAAGGGGTTTTATTCAGAATCAAAGAAAAATCACAGGTCAGATGGACTACAAAAATCATACCAGTCTATCCAGCCTAGAGGGCTCAAGAGTCCTTGGTCACTGTCTGGGGCTTCCTTTCGTGAGTCTAGGAGGAGGGACTGATTGCTAGAGGCAGGATGCAGGAGCCTTTTGGATTTGATTGATAGGCTTAGATATGTAAGCCTTTGTTGCACATATCTTTACCTAAGATGCATCTGGTCATAATCATGCATAGGTATAATACAGTAAAGAGCAATTTCCCCTAAATGTTTGTTCAAAGGATATATTTTTGACTTAGCACTTAGCACCCCAAACTTCTTCAACCTGTATTGAGCCATTTCATTTAGTTTCAGAACCCCCCTCCCAACAGTTCTTAGGGTGGAATGACATAATGCATTGTTTGGACCCTGGTATATGCATGAAGCAGGGGGTCCCAGGTTGATATGTGCATTCTAAGGAAGACAGTGTGTATATTGCTCTAGCCAAGTGGCATCCTAGGTTACTCAGTTAGCCCTACACTTGCCTACCTCGATTCTACCCAAGTCTATCTTGGTAAACCAGTGAGTTGTGCCAGGCGTATAAGGGATTACTATAGGAGCTGGGCTTACACAGTCAGTCACATCAGGAAAAAAGCGTGCCCCAGGATAAGTCACAACTGATAAAAGCAGCACCCCTGGAACTGCCCACAGCTTGTGCACACTGGAAAGCCTTTTCTCCCCAGCTATGGTGACTGCCTTTATACCCTGTACGGGGGGCCATTGTGAATATCCTGAGCTGGGAAAGCTTCACGAGCCTTGCAGGTTTCCTTCACTCCCTGAGCCTTGTGTATTTCATCTACTCCCACTTTTTTTATATACTCCTCCTCAGCCGGGAGGTAGTGTTTCAAGTCAGAGGACACAGTCTCTCTCTCACCGAGGTTTCTCTTCTTTCAGGGCTGTGCCTGTGCTATGGAGATGAGGAAGAGAACGGTGAGTTTCCACACGTTCTATGTGTTCCCTGCTCCACTCTCCGTGACCCTCTCCCTGTGTAGTAGCTGCAGGTGTTCCAGATCTGAGGAGAATGGTTTCCCCAATGTCAGTGCTACACCACTGAAGATAAAAGTATCCCGGCAGTCAGGAGTCAGGGAATACCCCAAAGTCACCCCACACAACAAACCCCACACAAGAGATTTACTGGGACAAACACACGAGAGTGATCGCCTCTGCCAGGATGAGAAGCAGTGAAGAACTAATCAGCAGGCAGGCATTCTATGTAGGGTTTCTTAGAGGGGGTAGCATTTTTCAGGGTGGGGATCCATGGGGTTTCAAGTCCTGAGCTTAGGGCGAGATCAGGAATTGGTGGTTTTCCCAACTCAGGGTTGGTTGGCCCCCAAGTTCAGGAATTGGTGGTTTCCGAGATCAAGGATTGGTTGGTTTTTGAGCTCAGAGATTGGTGGGTTTCTGAAACCCCAAAGTGAGCTTGGGCTTTTTGCCCTACAGTAGCTACTTTTCCTGTTGCTGTGACAAATCCTGATAAAGCAACTTAAGGGAGAAATGGCCTGTTTGTCTTACTGTTTGAGGTTGCAGACCCTACTGGTGGGGAGGTCACAGCAACCGGAGCTTGAGGCAACTGGTTATTGCATCCATATTCGAGAAGAAAAGAGTGGGCGGGATAAGACGGCTCAGTAAATAAAGGCAGGTGCTGCCAAGATTGACAACGTGGAAGCCCACATAGTAGAGGAAGAAAATCAACTCCCAGAAGTTGTCCTCTGACATCCACATACACACTTCACACACACACTCTCACACACACACACACACACACACACTCAAAATAAAATTTTATTTTAAAACTTTTTAAAGAATATTTTATGTATATGCGAGTTTTCACGCATTTGTGTGAATGTACCATTGTGTGCAGTACCCAGGGAAGCCAGAAGAGGTCACTGGATCCCCGGGAACTGGAGTTAGAGGCAACTGAACTGTTGTGTATGCTCTGAAATCCAGCCTGGGTCCTCTGCAAGAACAGCTAGTGCTCTTAAACATGACCCATCTCTCCAGTCCTAAACTTAGAAAGCAAAATATTTTAATCATGTGAATGTGTGTTTGTGTACATGAATTCCGTGCCTTCGGAAGTCAGGGATGTCAGACGCTCTGGAGCTAGCTAGAGTCACAGCTGGTTGAGAGACACCTAACATGGGTCCCCTGGGATGCTTGGTCTCAGGCCGTCTCTCCAGCCTTAAGGAATGATACTTAAGAACAAGAGAGCAATGAACACTTATGCTCAGTTCACTTTCTCCTTTTAAAAGAATTCTTGCATTTACTTATGTATATAGGTTTGTGGGACATGCACATGTCACAGCATGTATATGGAGGTCAGTTTTCTCCTTTTACCAGTGTGGGTCTCAGGAACCAAACTCAGGTTCTCAGGCTTGGCAGTGAGACTTTTAGCAGCTGAGCCCTCCTGCTGGCCCTCTCCATTTTATACAATGCAGGACCACCATCTAAGGAATGGTGCCACCCGTAGTGGATGGGTCTTTCCATGTCAGACTAATCAAGACAGCCTCTCACAAGCATGGGCAAAACACCTGTCTCCCGCGCGATTAAAGACTTCATCAAATTATAACTGACATTAACCGTCACACCTTCAATCCTTAGAATTCTAAGAGAGGTTTACTGTGATGGAGAGTCAATTAACTCTGAATTCTTTCCAGAGGAACTTCCCATTCCTTCCATCAGTGCCTGGCCCAGCTCTGTGGTCAGGTGCAAGAGTAACGTCACTCTCCGATGCTGGACTCATTTCCAGAACGTTACAGTTACTCTGGGAAAGTTGCACAACTCTGGGTACCAGCAGGAGCTACGATCAGCGGCAAAGGAGGCTGAGTTCCACCTCACTCACGTGCAGCCTGAAGATGCTGGGGGCTATTTCTGTGCTTACAGGACAGCAGCCTCCCGCAGGTGGTCAGCACGGAGTCAGCACCTACAGCTGGTGGTCACAGGTGAGCCGAGCAGCCTCAGACCCTCTCCTCATACGTTTTGAAATTACACTTTTTTATTTATTGTGTGTGCATGTGTGTACACATACGTGCCCCAGCCTGTGTGAGGAGGTCAGGGGACAAGTTGTGACACTTGCTTATCTCCTTCCACTGTGTGGGTCTGGGGATCAAACTCAAGTCATTGCACTTAACAGCCAACAACTTTACCCATCGAGCCAACCCTCAAACTCGGTGTGTGTGTGTGTGTGTGTGTGTGTGTGTGTGTGAGAGAGAGAGAGAGAGAGAGAGAGAGAGAGAGAGAGAGAGAGAGAGATACGGGTGTACATGTGGGCGCAAGGGTACCATGGCACACATGTGGAGATCAGAGGACAGCCTTGGATGATGGTCTTTCTCCCGCCTTGTTTGAGGCAGAGTCTCCCTTTTTCATTGCTGCTGTGTACCCCGTGCTAGCTGGCCTGAGAGCTTTCAGAGGTCCTTCTGTCTCCACCTCCCACTTCCCTGAGGGGGTGCCGGACAACCGGTACTACCAGACTTACCAATCCAGTTTTACACGGGCTCTGGGTATCTGAACTCAGGTCTCTAATACTAGGTCCTTTACCCACTAAGTCATTCTCCCAGCCTTGCTTCTTGAGTTTTAAAATATTAATGTTATAATAATTATAAATATAATTAGCTATAATTATAGTTTTATAATTGTATATACTTTGTATATTTAACTATTTATATTTATAACGTCATCTGTTTAGTTTTCAAATAATTGTTATAATTATTAATAAATAGATGTGATTGATTGTATTTATAATAATGACAATGACAAGGTTGGCCTTGGCCCATGCTGTTCTTTAACTCATTATATAGTTAAGGATGGCCTTGAACTCCTGATGCTCTTGTCTTCCTCTCTTAAGTGCTGGCATTATATATGTCCACCATGACTTGTTCTGCTTTTTCCGTCAAATTTATATTATTATGCAACTCTTATACAAAGTGATAGGTTTAATGACATTTTCCTTCAAGTATATCATTGCTTGGAATTATTGGCCCCTCGCTAAGTTCCCCTCCCACTCACCCTCTTCCCAAATGGTCAGATCAGTTCCTTTGTGGACATGTTCCTTCTTTTCTAATGGGTCTCGGCTGGAGACTCCAGGAAGCAATAAAGATACAAGTCCTCAGAGGAGACTGGAGATGTGGAGTTGAGTGCAGGGGATGAGGTTCTGGCCAGGGATTTCCAATAGGTCTCGATGATGTAATATGAGATGAATGCCTCGGAAGAGTGAATTAGTAGGAAATCTGATGTAATGTAAGGTCAGTAGATCAGTAGAAGATGAATACACAATGAACCAGAGGTCACAGCTTGGAAGCAGTAACTTATCACTGGGGGTTTAGAGCTAAATATGAGTACACGGAGTCCTAATGACTGTGAATTAAAATCCATTAGGGTTATAATGTGTAACTGATTTCAAGGCAGTGAGCACATGATTGGAGCATCTGTGATCACAATACTCAGGAAGAGGACAGTCAGAAATGAAATCCTAAAAAGAAAATCATAGATAGTGAGTGATCATGCTTAGTAGTCTATAGCTGTATAGCAAATAACCACAAATTTGGAAGTTCAAAACATCCATTTTATTAGACAGGGTCTAATGTAGACAAGGCTGGCCTTGAACTCCTAACGTAGTCAAGGACAACCTTGATCTTCTAATCCTTTCACCTCTCACTCCCAAGGACTGAGATGCAGGCATGAACCACCTCACCCAGTTTACAAGGTACCAGGGGATTAAACCCAGGATTTTGCACGTGTTAGGCATGAATCAACCAACTGAGCTACATACATCCTTAGCCCCATTAAACATCCATTTATTTGTCTTACAGTTTGAGGGGGTCAGGAGGCAAATAGGTTTCGTTGAGTTTTCTGCTTTGGGTCTCGCAAGGCTGCAAGCAAGTTTTCAGGGCTGCATTTTCTTCTGGAAGCTGGATTGGGGGAAAAATCTTCTCTTTTGCACTGGTTTAAGGGGGGTTCTTAGATATTAGCATACTGTCATGGGGATGACACTCAAACACTCTACTGTTTTTGCACATTTGTTGGTTAGAAGCAAGGCCTAAGTATCTGCACTCAAGGCCAGAGGCATTGACAGGAATGTGAATATTAGGAGAAGGTAGGTGGTGGCGGCGGCTGTTCAACACAGTTCTAGGGGATGAGACATACCCAATCACACTGACATCTGAAGACGAGCCTTTGTGGGTAGAGAACAGGAAAAGCCAGTATCAGAAAGCGTGTTTCTGTAATGGAGAAATGAAGTGGAAAGGAGAACAGAGAACGAGGGAGAGTACAAGGGGAGGGGGTGAGAGGACCTACACCTCGGTCCTGTCCTGGCTTCATTTCTCTTGTTGGGATAAAATCCATGACCAAGAGGAGGGGGTGAGAGGACCTACACCTCGGGTCCTGTCCTAGCTTCATTTCTCTTGTTGGGATAAAATCCATGACCAAGAGGAGGGGGTGAGAGGACCTACACCTCAGGTCCTGTCCTGGCTTCATTTCTCTTGTTGGGATAAAATCCATGACCAAGAGGAGGGGGTGAGAGGACCTACACCTCGGTCCTGTCCTGGCTTCATTTCTCTTGTTGGGATAAAATCCATGACCAAGAGGAGGGGGTGAGAGGACCTACACCTTGGGTCCTGTCCTAGCTTCATTTCTCTTGTTGGGATAAAATCCATGACCGAAACAAAACAACAGCTCAGGGAAGAAAGAGTTTGCTAAAGCTCCAGGTTTCAGCCCATCCTTCAAGGAAATCAAGGCAGGAACTGGAGGCAGCTAGTCATGTTCACAGCCAAGAACTCACAATTCCACAGTCAAGAGCAGAGAGAGAATGAATGCACCCAAGCCTACTGCTCAGCTCGTTTTCTCTACACTGATACAATACAGGACCCAAACATAAGGAATGGCACCACCCACTTTAGGCTGTGTCATTCCTTACCTGTAAATATAATCAAATCCATCCCCACAGGCCAACATGATCTAGACAGTACCACAATCCCCTCTTCACAGGCCATTCTAGATCATGTTAAAGCGTCGATTAGAACTAACCATCACAGGTGTTTAAACTAACCATGGATTTTGTTAAACAGAACAAGACTCCACTGGCAGCAGTGCAATGGGAGAACAAAGTCATTTATTTATATGTTGTAAGGGTTTCGGGATTTTTGGATGTGGATTAGAAGGATGTAAAATGATGTTACTTACTGTATGTAGTGCTTTGAAGGAAAATGGCTTCCAACAGAAGTGGCACTGGTAGCAAGTGCGGCCTTGTTTGAGGAAGTTTGTCCCTGTGAACTCTGGCTTTGAGGTCCCTTTTGCCCAAGTTTCTTTCAGTGTGACAGTCAGCTTCCTGCTGTCTGCAAGATGTAACATTCTCAGCTCCAGCTTGCCTGTCACCATGCTCCCCTTCATGATGATAAAGGACTAAACCTCTGAAACTGTAAACGAGCCCCCTCAATTAAATGTTTTCCCTTACAAGAATTGCCATGGTCATGGTGTCTCTTCACAGCAATAAAAACCCTAAACTAAAGCTAGGCAGTGGTAGTGCAAGCCTTAATCCCAACACTCAGAGGCAGAGGCAGGTGGATCTCTGAGTTTGAGGCCAGTCTGGTCTACAAAGTGAGTTCCAGGACAAACAAGGCTACACAAAGAAACATTGTCTGGAAAAACATAAAAAAAAAAAACCCTTAAACTAAGACACTGTGTTTTAGATAGTGAAATGTTTTCTCTTTGGGGGGAGGGGGAGAAGTGTGGGAGGAGGGGGAGAAGGGTGGGAGGAGGGGGAGGGAAATGGGAGGCTGGGAGGAGGTGGAAACTTGTTTTTTGTTTATGTTTTTTTTCTTCTTTTCTCAATAAAAAAAAAACTCTTAATTGACAAAGATTGTACTCAAGGTGCACATTGCGTAATGATTATTACAAACTGAATACATTCCTCTACACCCACACTGTACATCAGAGTCCCACAAATTGATAGATGAAAATTTCCCATCTTTTCATTAAGTACATTCTGGAGAATGATCTATGATAGCTATATTTTCTACTTTGAATGAATGAGTTTATTAAGTAATAAATAGTGAGAGGGAGGTGATAGAAGGAGAGAGAGAATAAATTACTAACATGGGTACTCAATATTGTGGTGGTGCCTGCTTTTAGTCATCACGCAGAAGGCAGGCGTATCTCTGTGAGCTCCAGCCCAGCAAGGGGTACACAGTGAGACCCTGTCTCAAAAAAAAAAAAGGGGATGACAGCTGGAAATACGGCTCAGTGGTTAAGAACACTGACTTCTCTTTCAGAAGTCCTAAGTTCAATTCCCAGAACCCACATGGTGGTTCAAAACCATCTATAGTGGTATCTGATGTCCTTTTCTGGGTGTACATACAATAGAACACTTATACATCAAATAAATATGTCTTTAGATTTAAAAGAATGGACACCAAAATATCCAGCAAGGAGCCTTGACTATTCATATCTCGAAGGACCAGAACTCCCCTCACCCCATGGCCCTGCTTGAGCAGGGCTAGACCCCTTGTTCAAAAGGTGCCACAGCCACCCAAGACAGTGCCACCAGTTTGATTACTGGGTTTTCTGGCTTCTGGCTCTTATTTTGTTTTTAGTTTCAGGCAGGATTTCACAAGCACTTGAGGCTAGCCTGAAACTTACTGTATCACCAAGGCTGGGCTCTAACTCAAGATCCTCCCACCTCTGACTGGAGTCCTGCGATTCTCAGAGTGTGCCACCACACACTGTGTCTGGAGCCTCTTAACTGCTCTGCTAAACTGTTTGGGGAAGCAAACTGATTCTGTGACTCCGTTCTTAATAAACGATCAAATTTATGGCTGTGGGTGAGATGCTCACATGGAATTTTTCCCGTGTGTGAGGCTCTGCCCAGCCCTCTCCAGCTCCTTCGACACGTGTTCTCAGGGATATCTCATGATACAGCTGCCATTTCCGTCTCCGATGTACAGATGGAGTGGGAGGAGGTGGAGGAAATCCCGCCCGACCATCAAACAGCAAACACATCATCCTTACCACCTTCAGCTGCCTCTGCATCTCTCTCCTCTTTGTCTCCATCTACTTTATCTACAGATGCACTCAGAAAGGTGAGTTAAGAAGAGTTATATATCCATGCATGGGAGAGAGAGAGAAAGAGGGGGGGGGGGGGAAGGCAAGAGAATGATTCTGATAAGATGTGGGCGAGGTGGCACATGCCTTTAATCTCAGCACTCGGTAGGCAGAGGCAGGTTACTCTCTGTGAGCTCAAGGCCATCCTGGTCTACACAATCATTTCCAGGTCAGCCAGAGCTACATAGCGACACCCTGTCATTCACACACACACACACACACACACACACACACACACACACACACCACATACTCATACAAACACACACACACACACATGTAGATGTGTATACATAGATATATGTGTAAATTCTTCTTCCTGGTATGTTTTATAGGTTTGTCACACAAAGAGCCTCCCAAGAGGTAAATGAATGCACAGTCTTCGGCAAGCTTCATGCCCCACTTCCTTCCCACTCCATTCTTCTAAGACCCCATTTAAATATCGCCAATTGCTACCCACCCCAGCCTATTTCTGCCTCACTTTCCTCTCCATCAAGTCTTCATATCCTCTACTTCCACTTTCCATTCATATCCTCTCACCCATCTCCCCCTCCCCCATCCCACTCTCTCAGAACCAGCCATTCTGATTTTCCAAAGCAGGAGGAGGCAATAGGTAAGTGATAAGATACCAGAAAAATCATGAGTTTTTCTTTTTAAACAAAGGGATGAGCCCTTGTATATACTGTTGGTGGGGGTGTGAACTAGTGCATCCAGTAGTGGAATCGCAGCAGGAACTAGTACAGTGTGGAGGTTCCTCAAAAATACAAATAACAGAACAAGCAAACGATCCAGCTACAGCTCTCCTGAGAATTTGCCCACAGGAAAGTCCCCCACACCCTTATATTAACAGTTCAGCCCTAAGTTTCAGTTTCTTCCATGGGTTCATTCCTCCCAGCCTGGCCTGACACCAAGAAAGAGATTTATAAAAAAACGCACCCTGGGGGCTGGAGATATGTCTTTGCCTTTAAGAGCAGCTACTGCTCTTACAGAGGACCTGGGTTCCATCCCCAACACCCACATGATAGCTGCCAGCTGTAACTTCAGTTCCAGAGGATCCAATGCTTTCTTCTGGCTTCCATGGGCTCCTGCATACGCACACTCAGGAACACACACACACACAAACAAAATTTTATATATATATTGCCTTTAGTCCCAGCACTCGAGAGGCAGGGGTGAGGTAGGTGGATCTCTAAGTTCAAGGACAGTCTGGTCTACACAAAGAAACCCTATCTCAAGATGTACCCTGATTTCAACTGCAACCTGGGTATTTGGAGCCTTTCTAGCCCCACAGGTAGAGAGAGGAGTGTGGCCTTAGATGGGTAAGCTACCCCTGAGTTTATTGGGTGTATGCTGTCAGTTAGAGACCCCAGTCTGATTATTTAAGTGCATCATTGTAAGGTTTCTCTAGTATGGACTTCTTTGTTTCAGTGACGCTGAGAATGATCACATGTGTAAATATGAGCATGAAGCCAGCTGCGCTGGGTGACACCTGGAATCCAACACTCAGGAGGCTGAAGCAGAAGACTGTGAATTTGAGGTCAACCTAAGCTGCATACAGAGAGCATATCTCAACAGACACACATAGAGAAGCACACAGGGATGCACACAGACAGACAGACACGCACACACACACATACACAGAGACAGACACACATATGTACACACACAGACGACACTCAGATACACACACACATGCTTTTCTTCCAATATTCTGTCACTCGACTTTGCAAGGCATTGTTTTAATATAGGAAGAAATGGAAGTGTGAACATTTGGATCCTCTATATAAATATCCTTAGCTCATGAGAAGATTTTGAATAATTTTCTCTTTTTATGATTTTTTTTTGATGTTTGGGGTTTTTTATTGTTGTTGTTTGTTTGTTAAAACAGGTTCTCACTGTGTATCCCTGGCTGGCCTGGAATTTGCTATGTGGATTAGGCTGGCCTTGAACTCACAAAGATCCACCTGCTTCTGCCGGCCAAGTACTGTGATTAAATGTGTGTGCCATTATGCTTGGCCCCTTTTAAAATTTTGTATTTCAAAATAAACCAATCAATGAAAAATACAAAATATGAATGGAAACGCATTGCCTGATATTGTCTAGCGACATTTTGTCCCCGCCTTCTTCTTCTTCTTCTTCTTCTTCTTCTTCCTCCTCCTCCTCCTCCTCCTCCTCCTCCTCCTCCTCCTCCTCCTTCTCCTCCTCCTCTTCCTCTTCCTTTTCTTCTACCTTTCTTTTTGTTTTAAGTTTTTTGGGGGGTATTAAGTCTTAAACGCAGGACTTGACCAACATTAGGCAAGTACCTTCTGACTGAGATATATTCCCCACCCATATCTACCCTTAGTTTGTTTTTCCCTCTCTCACCGTCACCAGAGGCAAACACTATGTAACGCTTTTTTGTTTGTTTGAGACAGGGTCTTAGGTAGCCCAGGCAAACCTCAAACTAAGCTGAGGATAACCATGAACTCCTGATCTTCCTACCTCCACCGCCCAAGTGCTAGTATTAGAGGCTGTGCCCCCATGCCTAGCTTCATTCCTGTGTGCTTTTTCCATACTTTTATTAAATAGACATCCATTGATAGTCAATATATGGTAATACTTATGCTACTAAACATACATAAATACATACAATACCATGGTGTTTTTTAGCCCTTGCAACACTTGGTGCATTTGAAAGTTTTTAAGATGTTTTTAAAATTATTATTACACTTCTTTCATGTGTGAGAGTACACACATGTGGGGATCAGAGGATAACCTGTGGAAGTTCTTCCTATTCTTCCACCATGTGTATCCCAGGGATCAAACTTAATAGTCAGGCTTGTCAGCAAGCATCTTTACCCACTGAGCCATCTCTTAGACCCATTTGAAATTGGTTTTTGTTGTTGTTTTCAAGACCAAGGACTACTCCATGTAGCCCTGACAATTCCAGAACTCTCTCTGTAGGCCAGGCTGGCCTCAAGCTCAGAGATCCCCCTGCCCTACCTCCTGAGTGCTGGGATTAAAGTTGTGTGCCACCACACCTGCCTTGAAATTGCTTTAACCTAAGCTGTAGGTTCAAATTTGGGTCTGAGTAGAGGAGGGGCTAATGTTTCTAGATGTTAATTTATATTTTATGTATAGCACCTTTGACAGTTAGCTTAGTTAAGCCTCTTGGACAGAAGTGACAAAAGGAAAAATCCAAGTAAGAAAACCTTGGAAGGAAGGAAGGAAGGAAGGAAGGAAGGAAGGAAGGAAAGAAGAAAGGAAGGGAGGGAGGAAGGGAGGAAGGTCGGTTGGTTATGTAAGCAAGCTGAAGAAAACGCAGAGCTGTAGAGACATCCTCAGATGCCTGCATTCACATAATGAAAACCACTTCAGCTTCCCTTCCTTTGCCTCTCATCTCCATTTCTATTTCTGTGTTATTATTATTCAGACCAGCTGTTCCTATGAGTCTATGACTGATAATGACAATTCCAGGCTTACAGACTCACAGACTTTTAGCCAAGGAGAAAAGGGAGGGCTTGGGGGGATCTTATTTAGTGGATCTGTTAGGGAAAAAATCATAGACTCCCTTCAGAAGAGACTAGAAAACTAACTCACAGAAGTGTTGAATATGGGAGTTTTAAAAAATCGAACATTTGCTCTCAGTTAGTACCCAGAGTTTTGGGTTCCATCTCCAGTACATAAACAGACCTGTTATCCCAGCACTCAGGAGGTGGAGGAAGGAGGATCCGGAAGTTTAAGGCCATCTTTGGCTTCATAGTGAGTTCTAAGCCAGCTGGGACACATAGCATTGTATTACAAATGGAGAGAGGCTAGCGCAATAGCTCATCAGTTAAGAGTGCACATCCTTCTTGCAGAGGACCTGGATTTGGTTCCCACCACCTCATTGACTGGGTACAGCTCCAAAGGATATGATGCCCTCTTCCAGCCACTTTGTGCAGATGAACTTAGGAGTGCATACCCACACAAAGATACACATGCATACACACAACAATAATTTTTAAATAAAGCATAAAACAAGCATTTATTGCCTGCTTTTTTAAATCTATAATCCAAGACACACAATAGTTATGAGGAAAATCTGTTGTTATGGAATTACAGTAGTGAATTCATAAAGAAGACACTCTCAAAATCCTATCTGTGACCAGGAAAAGTCCACATCATCAAGAATAATAACAGACAGCCCGTCTTTGCATCTACCTTTCCAGAAATATCAAGGTGGGATGGTGGGAGGCCATGATGACTGGTCAGAGGTTGCAGTCTATCATGGCCTGGCAGCTCTTTCCAAAGCTCGAGGACGTGGGGACTCCCTCCTCCCCCAGCAGAACTTCCTGCTCTCTACCCGCCCTGGAGACTGTCCCTGAGGCCGGAGGACTGACCTTATCTGAGAGCAGTCCCTAAGCCTGGAAGCCTGATTTATCTCTAGGGTGACCCTTGCCACAGTTTCCTGCTAGAGGCCTCCTCTGCTGCACGTATGGTAACTAAGACTTGTGCTAGGAGCTCTGCTCTGGGACCCTGATGTCATATAAGAAGGCTTATGACAGGAACCTGCCACTTAAAGTAAATTAAGGTTTGTCGCCAGGCTTTCCAATTCTATATATTCCGTATACTCTGGAATAAAGTTGAACAGATTTACCAAAGTCATCCCCTGGAGGGCTTTCTCCATCATACCCACAGCTGTCTGAGCCTTGTTCCCCACTTCTGCTCCCTCCTTCTCATGGACCAATACACCAGCGATTCCCAAGGAAGAAGCAGAACCACAGTGGAATCAGAGGCTTGTGAACATCCAGAGGAAAGGTGGAAGGAACATGAGACAGTCATTTTTCTCATTTCTACAGTGATGAACAAAAGACCCAAAGTACTCACAATCAAAACTTATTATATTTCCAAAGTCACAAAGGTTCAGATCTAAATCCAGATTTGTTAGGTCCTAGACCCTCAGAAGGCAAACCTTTTTTTTTTCTTTCTGAAAAGAAGCAAGCAATAGTGATTTTGGCTTTATGACTATAGGAATTCAGCATCCATAACTGATACGTAAATAAGCATAGCTGGCTATGTTCCAATAAAGCTTTATTTATAAACACAAATGGAGGTCCATAGCCAACTCTTGTTCTAGACCAATGCATTGTGTAAATCCTGAAAAAATTACCAGGATAAGAATTGGAGAGACAGAACTCTGTGTTCCAGTGTTGATAGGAAGATGAAAAATAAATAAATAAATAAATAAATAAATAAACCTTGGATGGGATTGTCTCTGAGGACCTTTTCATCTCTGACAAACTGGGACTCTGGAACTATACATCATATAGTAGGTACAGTATGTCCTGTAGGAGGGCTAAATCCCACAGTGCTTTGGAAAGAGACTGAACATGCTCAGCAACTTGGTTGAATTTCTGGTTTCTCCTTTAAAGCCCAAGTCATTACTACACTAAACACAGTGATGGAAGCCGAATGAACGCACTGTACTATGCAGAGACCCACAGAGACAGCTACACATAGTAACCCACAGACAAGCCTACATTCTTATTGAAAACCACCAGCATGTCAGAACCACAGACCAAAACTTACACAGAGTCGCGCAAGCATGAAGACATGGGAGGGACATGCAGGTATACACAAAGGCAGATGACACACACACAGCTTACAGCCTGTATTACTAAACTTAAAGGTTCTAAAGTCAAAGGTCCCGATCTTTTTCTAAGCCTGACCAGTCAGGCTATAAGCCCTAGACCATCCTCCCCTCCATGCGTATTCCTGATTAAAGTCCAAGGCATGAGGGGTCAGGAGAGAATGTTTCATCCAGTCTGCTGTGACAAAGCACCACAGACTGCAAGACTCATAAATAACAAATGTTCACATTCTGGAGGCTGAAGACTGAGGTGCATGCAGGACAGCACTATTGCCTGCTGAGGACCCAATTGCATCATAAATGGCTAAATGGCTTCTTTGTGTTGCCTTTTTTGTTTTACCCCAAGACAGGGTCTCCGTGTAGACAAGCTATAGATAGGTGTAGCCCTGGCTGTCCTTGAGCTCACTCTATAGAACAGGCTGACCTTAAACTTAGAGATCCACCTGCCTCTGCCTCCTGAGTGCTGGGATTAAGGTTAGAGTTGGGTGTGCACCACTGCTGCTCAACTTGTGTTGCTGCTGTTTTAAGGTGAGTGGGGCAGGGCCTATGAGATATCTTATCTAGTAAAGGTGCTTGCTGCCAAGCCTAATGTTACATCATCAGGACCCACATGGCGAAAGGAGACAGCTGACTTCCACTAGTTGCCCTCTGACCTTTACATGTACACACACATGCACAAATAAAAATGCAATTTAAAAAAATTAAAGCCAACCAATGGTTCACCAATTAAGAGCACTTGTTGCTCTTGCAGACAGAAGACCAATGCTTGGGTTTCAGCATCCACATCTGATGGCTCCAACTACCTGTAACTCCAGTTCTGTGGGCAGAGACTGGTTGTTCATTTGTCAGTCACCCAGACCCGAATGACACAGAAACTATATTAATTACAACACTGCTTGGCCAACAGCTTAGGCGTATTTCTAGCTAACTCTTACATCTTGAATTAACCCATTTCTATTCATCTGTGTGTCACCATGA